ATATATAATATATATTTATACATAATTTGAATATATTTACATACATCCAGCACCTATATACTGCATTTGTGCTCTGTAAGTGTGTGCTGACATATATTTTCTCCAATTATTACAAAATTAACAAGGAAGGCAGAATATGTGTCTGCCTTGAGTCCAACTGGGGCACAGCCAGTACCCGAGAGGGGTCAGAGGGGTGGCATGGTGGCTTGTGGCTGTCCATTGCTCCAGAAATATTCTTCTCCTGGTGAAGATGACAAGTTTCCAACGTATAAATCTTTACACATGTGCCGATTACTTTTCCAATTATTTACTCCTCTGATCCATATATACAAGCAGAGACAACAAGCTCTTGGAGGCATGGCCTCCTAGCTCAGTGTAGGTAGGTTCCTGACACTGTCCTTTTTGGGGACAGGAAGACACATTCACTCATGTTTTAACACTGCCGTTTATGTGTGGGTACTGAGGCAGGCAGGGTTCATAAGGCATGGGGTCCGGAGAAAACACAGAGTCATCTCCTGAAGAACAAGAACTCCTTGTGTCAGGGGAACTAGGTGAGTACTGTTCCAGAGGCTGACTGAGGTCCAAGTATTCCTGAAAGAAGGGAAGAGAGATGTTTTATTTCATCTCAGGTCAGGATAACAAGGTGAGTATGGTTCGAGAGGCTGACTGAGGTCCAAGTATTCCTGAAAGAAGGGAAGAGAAAAGTCTTTATTCACACACAGGCTCCTGAGATGTCGGTATCAGACTTGGGCAGCACAGAGAGCCCTTGGGAGGTTTACAAAGGTCTAGCCCACCCCCAGACCCCAACTTCATTTACTCTGGCCTACCCTTAACTTTTCTCTTACAATCATCTTGAATAAACTCCTGGCAGGTAGGGAATAACAAATTCCTGTTGAACTTTGGAGATGGGTAGTCATCTCAACCTATGGAAGTGACCCCTAGCTAGATAACTCCTTGCTAGAGTGTGTGGTTCAAGTTTGGTCCCAGCAAAGTAGACACATAACAGTCTGTGGATCCTCAGGGTCCTTTAAGTAGTAAGACTATGAATATGAATTTTCTGAATTACATTTTACTATTATAATTTCTAGGACAGTTTAAGGGTAATACTCCATTCAGCACATAATTTAACAAATGTAATTCATTACTCTTAAAATCTCTCTGAGCTGAAAATGTAAATTGGTTCAAAAAAGGCTTGGATACACTCATGTGTATTAAATCCATAATAGGCTGTTAAAGGAAAGCTTAGGGAAAGAGAGGAGAGGCTTTAAGAGTTCTGAAAGTTTGAAATTCAGGAAGTTTTTCTGCTCCTCAAGATTCACTGGTGTAGCTGCTGAGGCCCCCTGGATCACCAAGGATAACATTTCCTAGCAGGACACGGCAAGAGCTCATGGCCTGTTTTCCTGTGGCCCATGAGCTGTAAGGATGCTTTGTAACATTGTACACGGGTGGAAAAACTCAAAGTAACAGTAGTATCTCATGACATTGAAATCACATAAAATGGTATAAAATTCCAAATTCAGGGTCCATAAAGTTTTAGTAGAACACAGACACTCATTTATTTACATACAGTCTGTAGCTACTCTCATACTATAATGGCAGAGTTTCGACAGACACCATATGGCCCTTGGAGCTGAAAATATTTACTCTCTGGCCCTTTGCAGAAAGCATTTGCTGACCCCTGTTCTGACTACACAGGGACCTTTCCGATCTCCATGCTCCAAGTGAGCTGGCACATTGGGGTGGCTGCGCTCGCACATTCAGAAGCCAGCGACTCTTGTATGACATGTGGTTTTGCTGAGAGGGGGGCAGAAAGTGCAGACCACAGCACAAACAGCCTCTGCGTTATCAGAAAAGAGCCCACGGAATGTTGGCGACTATACATCTTAGGAGACAGAAAAGCACTATAATTCATCACCAGGGTTGGCAAGAGTAAGAGTCCCCATCCAAGAAAGGGGATGTGTCAGTTCCAACAACATCAGCATTAACCACACAACTAGAAACAAACACGCCCACCACATCAAAAAAGAATTTTTTGCTTACAATGATAAAAATGAAATTTTGTCCTAAATGGAACCATTTTTCTCGAGCATATGGTAATGATTTTCAGAAGGAAAGAAACTTCGATTTTTATATCCGTTAGACAATATGGCATTCTGCTTTTGCATTTTAGGATAGTACATATAAATTTCAGAATGAATGGACCCTCTTTAAATGTACATAAATATGTATGTGTAAATATTCACATATATGTATAAATACATAACATGGACATGGGATCCAAAAAAGAGAACTTGAGTGCTTTTCCCAGTTTTTAAATGAACCCATAAACCTTCAGATCTGATAGGAAAAAAATAGGGCCATCAGTGAATTCCAAGCCTAGGGTTAAAGGAACTTACACTGGAAACAACAGTTTTGGCAGGAGAAGAAAGTTAGGCCCCCCCTACCCCCACCCCTTGAACTATTCCTTTCAACTTCTGAAGGTCAGCTGCATTCATTTAAATGCAATCGCTCCCTCTATCCAGCACAAGCCCCAGTCAGACACACCAGATAGAGCTGCCGGCTTGAGGTTTCTTATCATTACCTTTGCCTGCTTTCTAAAGGAATCACTTTAAAACCTTTACTAAATCAGAAATTAAATGTATTATTCTCCTTCTAGAAAATTTGGGAGATTTTTAACCTTTTTTGTAGTCGTTATAAAGACAACAATGTGACTTTGGCTTTCTGTTTTTCTTTTTCTTCTGTATGAAAAAACACTGATCTTCATTAAATATCTCAAATTTGATTGGTTAACCATTTCTATCTTTGTGATTTCTTGGGCTCCACGGGTTTATCATCTTTCTGGCTCAGAGTACATGCTTTTCATAGCCCTAAAAGCTTCACTCCCTCTGCACACTGAGGCAGCCACAGATATGGCTGAGTTTGAAGCCCTGAGTGATAGCACTATTCCTTTAATTGGCATAGATTATAAATAAAAACTACTTGTGTAGCAGGTACCAGTTTTCACTTAAAAGTCCTGCACGTCACTTATTTTAGGAAGCTGTGTATGTGTTACATGCACATAGATAGAGAGGCAAGCCAGAGCCATTCCCAGACAGGGTCACACAGGACCATGGTGTGCCCCAAGGAGGCCAGAATTATAGACCCTCGGTGCACATCATCACTGGAGCACTAGCAGCTCTCACGTTAATTGCTAGGGCACAGAATACAATGAGCACATAACATAAACCCATGCTCCTCCCCAGCCACGCCTTAATGTTCCAACTCCACCTTTCTTCCCCTCCCTCTCTCCTTTCACCACACCAGAGTCACTCCAGCACCAGCCACCACGAAGGTGGCTGGGGATGGCTCTCAGACTTCCGTCTCATGAGGAGAAGTCACAAAATGCAGTTCTGAGAAAAATCATGACTTGAGAGAAGCACATAATTTAACTCTGTCTGATTCCTATGGAAAAAGGATAAACTATACCACAGACTCCCACAGAGGAGTTTGTGCATAAAAACCTGAGCTCCGCTCCCCAGCTAGGCGAGACACCCTGGCTTCTGGAAGGAAGAGCTTACCTCGTTGGTTGTGAGAGTAAGAATTCGGTCCAAGTCTTCTACCAACTGCTTGAACGTTGGTCTCTGCGAGGGCACTGCGTGCCAGCAGTCCCTCATCATCATGTACCTGGAGAAAGGGATTTCCTGGGTGAATTAATCTCATTCAATACTACGGGCATGGCTATAGCCAGCTTCAATGTGACGGTAACACAGAGATGTGCCCTAAATAATGGAAATGTAACAGAACTTTCCAAGCAACTGAGGAAGTGGTTATCCACTTTCCCCACAGACATACCGCTTGGCTTTTCCAGGGCATGTTTGATTTACAAAATATTTCAGGAAGACATCTACGCATCAGGAGATGTCTATATGTGTCCATGGTATTCCTGTCACAGTGGAACACATCACAACGGTATCACACTTATGAGACATTTTTGAAGGTTCAGGGATAAGACCTATGTGTTCACAGCTACTCTAGTTTTCCTCCTCAAATACGTCTGTCTGAACCGTGCTTTAGGTTTTAAGATTCTAGCTGACAAAAGTTTCTTAGTTTACAAAAAAAAGTCTGAAAACCACAAGTGTAAGGTAAGGATTTTATGAACTAATCTGCCACTGCTGGGCTGTACACTAACTTCCTGATTAACTCTTAGACAGAGCAAGGTTCCCACCCATATCTTGCTTTTGAGTTTCGACAGACCTTGTACGTTAAAAAAAAGCCATAGGAATGACAAGCACAATAAATGCCTTTATATAATATACTACAAAATGTGGCCATTCATCAGACATCCACTGTACACCGAAAAGCACTCATGGGATTACTGGTATAAAATCCCCACGAAACGACACACAATAGAGCGCAGTCTCTGAGACAATCGGTCTTCTTAGTTCACCCCAGGGGGAGGGGGCAGTGCCTCCTTTTCAAAGCATTGATTCTACTGCACAAGGCACGTGTCACTAACACAGCATAATCCCACTAACAGTGTGAGGTAGATCTTTCTAGAAACTAGCTCATGGTTGTATAGCCAGGCATGGTACGCTAAGGACAGTACTACGACAAATTTTTAGTTCTCTGTGCTAAAATATGGGTGAAATGCAGGTAAACAGATACCAGTTCTCTCGGTCTGAGTGCATGCGGTTGATGTCAATTGGCAGGGACAATTTTCAGTGTCAAAGACACCCCAGAGATACCCGCTTTCTATTCGCCAGGCCTGGTCCAGAAACTATCACCTGTGCTATGCAAGGGCGGCCCCATGACTTTCTAGCTTGTTGTCTGATGTGGGTGTCTTCCTGTCACTCTTGAGGCATAGCACAGTGGCCAAGGAAGATCACTCGGCTGGTTTTCTCCTTGCCCAGACAGCTCAATGCCCTCTGTGATTTAAAGCCCACTCCATATACTTTGGCAGGATAGTCTCTCTTTTGGACAAGTATTGACTGTCAGTATAGCTATCAATCTCAGTTCTGGGGTTGATAGCACACGGCTTTAAGCAATTTTTCTTCTTAGAGCGTGTTTAGAAAATGGGAATCTTAAGAAACTGAGAGAAGTCAGAAATGTGACTGATGTGGTGAGTCCACTGCGGAACTGGCAGGGGGGACCCAGTCCTTACAGCTCATTGGTGCAGTTGGCTGGTTTATCCATCCTGTGTCCTTCCTTTAGCAGCTTAAAAAGTTCCTCCACGGGAATCCCTGGGTAAGGTGAGCCCCCTAAAGTGAAGATCTCCCACATTAACACCCCAAAGGACCAGCTGCAAAAAGAAAAAAACACATCATTACTATCCCGTCTGAATCAGAGAAACCTAAACATTCCCTGTTTAAAAAAATAAACACATACTCAGTTCTTCCATTCACAGATAAAGGAGCCCTCCTGCAATTCATCCTGCAGGCCTTCTCCTGAGCCCCAGGAGCCTCCCTAAATGATGACATGGAGATGGGGATGTTCCAATGAAGTTTTCCACCAACAAACAAAAAGCAAGCCACCACTGCTCTTAAGAGTTCTTCCTCCTACACTTGGTGTTAATGAAGTGAGGATCTCAACTTCTGGACTGCAAAGCCTTTTGCATTCCTGTATAACTCCTCCATCTCCTGTGCACCTAATATAATGGTTCTCATCTACCTGGCCAGCAAACTAACTCTGCAAGAAAATGGGCACCCTAGGTGGCTGGACACAAAGGTTCTGTGACTTACTAGGACGGTAAAGGAACGTAGCAAAGGGCTGGGATTGTGATGGAAGAGCCCTGTGCCCTAGACAAGTTGAGTTCAAAAAGAGAAATTGAAGACACCTCAGAGAATCCCATGTACCTGAATTTTCAGAATCCTACAGTTGAACTTTCTGAGCCTATTCAGGACCCTCAGCCACTGGGATGATGAAGCAGAGATCCCTGTCTGTCTACATCACTGCAGCTCTGGAAACTATCCCTCCTGCTTCTGTGCTGGTCAATTTCAGGAATGCAGTTGCCTCTAGTTTTATGCAGAGCACAAGCAGGACAACAACAGAGGCAGAAACAGCTTTGGGCCTCAGTTTTCTTATGGCACAAATGATAATCGTGACTCCCTCCTTCCAGAGCTGCTGAGGACTGACCGTAGTAGGCCAGCACCAAGTCTGCCCCCGAAATCCTCTTGCTCATGCAAATGAAAACCAGTTCAACTGATTTTTAAAAACTGTTTCCCTCAGCATAATTATACTCACTGGAACTTACAAAAATAATACCTTTCACCCAGTTTCTCTTAATAATGATATCATTCAACTGAATTTATAAATCTAAAACATCAGTTGGTGCCTGACCCTCAGAGTATTTTTAAGCATGTTATAACAGAAACATGATGGCATTTCTACTACAGTTCTAGAATGTTATCAAGGATGCTAGGACAAAATCAGATTTCCTTGTATTTTTAAAGAATAATCACTATAAGGAGATGCAGTGGAAATCATGCCTCACTTGGTGCAGCCCTTTGAGAACATACTTGGGCCGGGGAGCATGACACACCATCTACATGGGAACTATATCAGGAGTGCCTTTTTTAAGTGAGTGAAGAGTATACCAACAGCTTTGCAAATCACTTAGCAGCTCTGCAGGTGCACCCACCAAGCTGTCTGAGGAGCACTTCCACTCTGGCAAGGGGAGTTAGCAGTTCTGCCTCCCATCCCCTTTCTTTACAGGCAGGCACATTAGTAATAGAACACTGGCTACCAGCCTACCATAAAACCCTGCTTTCTGAGGTCGCCTTCCACAAACGTTTGCAAGGCAGTGGCTATCAAAGAGTGAAGAAAGGCAAAGAACATGCAGGTGTGCAACTCAAGCCCAGAAAGAAGCCAAAAAAAGGGCAGCCACTTACACATCACTCTGATGTGTGTACACTCTATCAAAAAGGGCTTCGGGAGCCATCCATTTGACTGGAAGTCGCCCCTGCAAATAGGAAAGAAAATGTAAAAACTCATGGGTTAAAACACAGTTACTGCTGCTGACTCAACGGGCTGCACCCGGCTTAAAAGCTGACACTCTAATTGTTTTCATTAGCACATCATAAGGACAGAAATAAGCTCCAGCTAGAACTATATAAAGTGTGAGATGCACAGATTTGAGCTCATTATTAAAATGCCATCTCCTTGGAGTCTCATTATCATGTATCTCCCTACAACACAGACACATCCTGACCAGCTTCTGGGCAAAAATTCATCCAGGCACTTTCAGGCTCTATTCTCTGCTATGCAAAGTCTTAACAAGAGCCACATTTTCAAACCAAATCCCTGGAAGCTGTTGATTATTCTCCATATAAGATTGTTTTACATTTACTAAAATTAACTTAAATATATCTTAAATTGGCTTATTGAGAATTTATGAAGACAATGGCAAAGGCATAGAAATAAAAGGCTGAGGATAAGCCTTCCTGGTTCCTTCTAGCTTTGAACCTATAGATTTGCATTTTGGAAGTTCTATCCCTTGCCAGCATATTATAGAAATATAATATTTCTGCTATAACACCCTTGCTTTATTGCCATAGACTTACATTTGTTGTCTTTTTGTAATAATCTATATTGTTGATATCTCTGGCCAGTCCAAAGTCTGCTATTTTCATCACATTGTTTTCTGTTACCAAAACATTTCTGGCTGCTAAGTCTCGATGAATACACTAAAATCAAGAAAGAAAGAGTAAGAACTAATTTCAAAATGCTTCAAGAGGTAAAGGAAAGTATATTTATTTCTTAACAAGTCAAAAATTAGCCTCAGTATACCATGAGAGCTATGCTGGGGCTGTAAAATGAAGCTATTCCACTACGAGGCCCTGAGACTCTCTAACATGACACTGGTATTTATTTTCTTAAGTCATTTCAGAGAGCAAAGGTAGACTGACCACATTCTCTTTTATCTATAATTGTCTTACACCACCAGTATTCTCCTGTTAGCTGCATACAAGGTCGGTGTTAGATCATTCTAAAAACCTTTTTTTTCAACTCTTGCCCGCTTCAGAAAAGCATTTTCCAGAAGAGCTAGTTAAACCTCAACATCACATCATCTTCACTTCCTGATCATTTTCTCCAGCATTCTGACCTGATAGCAAGCTCTCAGAACGGTCTAGAGATTATAAACTCTATATTTCCTTCCTATAAATGATGTTTTCCACCCCCGCTGCTTCTAACATTTACAAAGAGCCTTTTCACTATTAGACCTAAGAGATCTCTTCCAGTCCCTCAATTTTTTCTTCTCTGCCACTTCAGACACTGTTGGTTTCCTGCTTGTTTTTGAAAACTCTCCCTCCATTGAGTTCCCCCCACTTCCTTTCTCCTGGCTCACGGTCTTTCCTCCACACCCCAGACTCTTTGGTTGGGTCCTTTCTCCCCTTTTCCTCAAAAGCAGAAAACCTTCCCATTGGCCTTGTGTGTTTCTATTATCCTGGCAGCAGTCCTCAGATACATATAAATAGCTGCAAAGTCCCCACCCCAATATCTCTCCTGAGATCCACATTCTCATTTTTAGCTCACTCTGGGAGAATTCCACATTGAGTCCCTTTGACATCTCGAGTTCAAGATCTCCCTCCCCATTCTTACCTCCTTCGTCTCTCTTAGTCACAAAGGGACACATCAACATTCCTTACACACAAGTCCTGTTGATGCCCACTCCAAAACGCCTCTGCAGTTTTCACTCTACTGCTGATCCCTTCACTCAAGTCGTGGCCACTATCTACTCCATACATGGACTTCCACACAGCCTGGCCAGCAGGCCTCCAGGCTTCCGAACTCAGCCAACTCCTCTTCTCCATTCCCGTCCACTTGTGCTTAGACAGAGCCAACTCTGTCCTTTCCTGGCTTCCCTCACAGCCAAGCCCTCCACCCATATTCTCACTCCAGTCTATCACCACACACAGGCCACACAGGTGGCACAAGCTGTGTCTGCCATATACCTTGGGACTAAACCCTGTGCTGCTTGCTATGGGGTAGCTGGAGGTCAGGGCTGATAGCAACTCTCTGAACTCGGAAAGGTGTACTTATTATAACATCTATATTCCTTTTCTATAAACGATGTTTTTGTAAGCTGCTCCGTTTCCGTTGCACTTTAATATACCACGACTGCAAGGTGATACGTGGTAATTAGGATCTCCAAACATCAGCCTCTATTTTTAGAGAGGTAACGTATAAAAAAGCAAGCAAATAACACCATCAAATGCTCTGACACAAATACCCAGCAAAGGTTAACTATCATATGAAGCACTCTTATCAATCCACTCAACGAAGTTGTCACAGGGCTAATCTTAGGTAGATACTCCGTGAAATGACCAATTAAAAGAGAGCAAACCAAACAACCTCTGAAATACAAAAAAGGAATTATTTTACCCTGCCCCACCCCTACTCTTTCCAGTGTTCACTCACTTGGGTGGGAAGACTAAGCTCAGAAATGAGGAAGCAAGAAAGCCACCCAAGTCTGCATGGCCCTGGCCAGACTAGGAGCAGGAAATGTGAGAGCTCCCAGAGCCGCCTGCAGAACCGTCTGGGCTGGAGGGTGTTCCTGATTTGGAGGCCTCTTCAAATTGAACTTCCAAGCCCTGGGCCAAACTCTCCCGGTGGCGTGCTCCCGACGACTGTGCTATGTGTTTGGCAAGCTGAACGGTCAGAAGAATCTGGCTCCGACCACACAGCAGACCTCAGCTGGGAAAGACATGCTGCCGAGGGTCACTGCCACCATTTTGTCTAGTATGGATACTCCTCATTCCAGGGTGTTAGGAAATGCGTAAGCCCCCTCTGGGTTGAACAGAAGCCTTGGAACCAGTGCCCAAGGAAAAGAAAATAATTAAAGGCAAGCCAAATCCTCAGCATCCACAGAAAGTTGAGTTGTTCTCTGGCCCGGAGAGCTGAATTTCATAATTAGGGCCCTGGAACACTCTGGTATTCCCTTTTTCTATAGGCTAAGGACAAGGAGGATAATATCTCGCAATGCAGATAGTATTCAGGGTCATGCTGGTCGTATTTAATTCCCAGGGCAACCTATGAGATGAGTGCGATAATGCTCACTTTATAGATAGGGATGACAGGACTTGCTTTAAAAAACAAGAAGAAAAATAAACCTGCTCAGGTTTAACACTCTGAAGTAAAAATAGCAAGGATTTTACAAATTTCCTAAGGCTCAAGGAGCCTATCACTAACTGTACTGCTCTAGGCACAGGTATTTCTTGCCTGATTCTAATCTCCAACCCCTACACACAATGGACAGCTGCCTGAGGTCCGGCACTGTGCGTCAATATTCCCAGCACTGAGCACAGCTTGGCCTAGAAACTGCCTACTGGGCCACCTTCAAAACCATAGACACCAGTGCCAGTTCTCCTTCACCCCCTCCTCCAGGGAGCAGGCCCCTGACAAGCCCCTCCCTCTGTGGACGTGGCTGAGGGTAGGCAGTTTCTGACCCTTTCCCTGCTTCCTCATTCTCCACTTTTGGGAATAAGCTCTCCAGTTTTGGAAGCAGGTGCCCCTCAGGGCACTCATTCTTAAGATCTTCATCTACCATCCTTCAAATCTATTTTAGGTCCTTAATTGCAGGTAGCTTAGGCAAGCAGCTCTGGAACCATGCAATGCCCTCAGGAAACATTATTTTCCCCCTTACCCAGGGATCTCCTGCAAAGTAACCTGGAGCTGTACTAGGTTACTAATCAAGCCCCAGCAGAGACTTATTGGTGAAGGTCTAGGGGATGTAGGTCTGAGCCTATGGGTCTCAGCCCAGAAGTGAGGACAGCCATTCTGCCGTGCCTGGACAAAGCTTTCCTGCCACTTCCTAAATCCTCAACAGCTATATGCATGAAACAGGGATCCTAAGCTCACCTATTACAGTCACTTTGAGGGTTATATAAGTAAGATACTGCACGTCAGATGCTTGGCACCTCACCTGGCTAAATTGAGGCTCTCAAAAGGTGTTTAGCAATTAGTAATAACTGTAACTACGGTTATCAAAGAATGATTCATAAGGGCGCGTTCATCTCCCATTCTGTCAGCTTAAAATATTCACTCCCTCAATTTGCAAAGTCCATCCAATTCTTAAATATCCTTTCCACCATGATGAGCAGCTCCAAACTGAGAAGGGTCTCGAAGTGTGGATGGGGCAGGAAGGGGAATCATTGCTTCGAGGACCAGACCCAACATGCACGTGTCTGCCCTTGCTCTGAGCAGGGCCACACAGCTGGACTCTACCTCCCTTTCTGAAACTGTCCTTTGTGGCTTCTTCAAACTGCATCCCGGTCTTGCTCTTCAGTCTAGTCGGGTCCTGCTTGTCGCCAGCCGTGGGACTTGAGAGTTTTCCAAGGGTTTGCTACCATTCCAGGGTTCTTGAGGCTTCTCACCAGCTAACTTTGTTCATC